TAAAATCACATCTCAACTCGAATTCTAAACTCGAATCAACGAAGTGAACAGAGTAACCAAAACAACCTTTTTTTAAGTTGGTCCAAACCAAACGGACCTTAAAACAATGTCACAAAAGTAAGACTATCTGTTTTCTTGATTCCTCGAGATCTTGTGTTCACACCTCATATCAAACTGCAGGCTCGAATACTACAATTATATTTTCCATGTTATATATTTTGGAGAGCCCTTTGGTAGGGTAAGGCAAAATTTAAAAAAAAAAAAAAAAATAATGATAAGATTCGATTTCAAACTGTTAGATCACATTAAAAATATGTCAGATTACTTAGAAAAGGTAAATAACTGAATGAAACTTTACTATATTCTAATGAGTAAAAAACATGTCTGAGCGAAAGGTATTTTTTCCATATTCCAAACAAAATCTTCCATATATTTTCTAATTATTTAACCACATTTAAATTAGAAAAAAGTATAATGAATTAATGAAACTTGATTGATTAAGATTAGACAATTAAGCATACCCTATACGGCAGAATTCTCCATAGAATTTTCAATTCTTTGACTCAAAAAGGGCTGCTTTTGATGCTTAAAAATCTAATTAAGCGTGTGGCGCAAATGGCCCCACGGAAAATGAGACAACTATAGAACAACATTTGTAAAAAGTGGAATTACTATATGCAACATGCATGAACTTATCTTAAGTGAGTGGACTCAACCTTATTAGCGTACGGAAAATGAGACAACTAGAACCACATATATAAAACGTGGATTTATTATAAGCAAAATGAGCTAAATTGAACTGAGCTAGAACATTATTATTTTATCATTATAAGCGTCACATTGGACCACAGTTGATTAGTCTTCTTACCCATTAAGGTGAAGTCCACCTTTCACTTTCCAAAAAGTGCCTTGCCTCTTAAGCTAGAAATTTCCAACTAATTTATGACTGATGATGAGTTTATTACCTTAAAAAATTCTCTCTAGCGATGTTTGCCAATTGTGAGAGTCAAAAGTAAACATAATCCCACCCACAGAGCACCTTAGTATGTGGCTTTCATATAAAATGAGGTACCTTTCTTGGAAAATTGTCAAATAGAATTGTTAGAGTCCCCATCAGCGTTCAACCCTTCTCTTTCTTCTTCACTTGAAAGTGTCCTGAACCCACTTGAGCTACTCCAAAATCCCATACTCATTTTTGGTTTCACATTGTAGGGTTCGAGCATGATATGCCTATAACTGCTGGATTAATTAAATAGATGAGAAATTCCAATGAGACTCTCTGCGTCATGCCTAGTGGCCCGAAAAAAACACATATAGATTGACATCATAGCATAAACATAATACGGCACGATTAGGTAGTGGGTCATACTAGACCGAGACAACATATACACGATAAAAACCTCTTTAAGGAAAATTACGTCTTAATTATTTGTTTTTATATAAGATGACGCCTTAATTCTTAACCTATAGTAAGTAATAACGTACCGATTCTATTCAATGTAATAAATAAGTCTTGTCTATGGTTTTCTATTTATTCGGTGCAACACTGATGTTGTAGAAATATAACAACAGGAATAACTATAAATTTTTTTAGTGTTACGTCTTAGGGTTTATTTGATACGAAGATTCAAACTAGAGTGATTCTAATCATGATTCTGGAACCAGAACCATGATTAATGATTTTAGGTTCAAATCATGAGTTTGAAACCATGATTCAGAATCAGAAGTTTGAATCACCTTGAATCAAGAGGAGGAGTGGTTTTAGAATCATGATTTGAGCTAGTTTAAAACATCACATCAGATTCAGAATAATGATTCAGAATTATCCAAACATGAATCATGATTCAAAATTACTGTAAACAAACACTGATTCTGAACCAGGATTCAGAATCATAATTCTAAATTTATCTACCAAACACACTTTTTGGGCATGTCTACGCTGGGGGACTTACTTTTTCCTACCGATAAGGTGCGAATCAAAAGGCTCAAGTTAAATCTTAATTAGGATTTCTATATTCTCTCCCACACTGAAACATAGCTCAAACACAATTAAAAAAAAAAAAAGAAATGGAAGAGCTAATATCTCTTTTTCCTTGCGTTCCACGCCGCCACCCTGACGCCCACCCCTATCACAATTAGCCACCGAGGCTCGCAATCTTTAACGCTCAGCTCTGCCTCGCCAAGATACCCACGCTCTCAGCTTCGATGAATGGGTCCCTTGACGAAATTGGTGAGATCGCCGGTGAATCCACTCTTGAGGAGGTCCGTTGGCGATATTCGTCGTAAAGGAGATGTAGCGATAGCCTCCTCCTCTCGGCTTCGTTCCAGATGTCACAGCCATCGTCAGCTCGGTTTCCTCCGCTCCCCATCGTCGAACCCCTCACGCTAGGGCTAGGCCACCTTTGAGATCTCCCACAAGATCCATTGTTCCCCAATCTCGATCCCATCATGATCGCATCACCGTCGAAGACAATTTTCAGTGGATATTATCAAGGTGCAGAGAAGGATCACCTTCTAGTGTTCTTCGCAGAGGTCGTCGGCGTAGGAGAAAGGAGACGTTTGTGCTGACGTGGAGAATTCGCTTTGTGATTCTTTGTTGGATACATTTGATTTGAGTGGATATTTAGTTCACAGAATTATGATTTAGAATTATTTTTAATTTATGTGTATTTTTTATGAAAAAAATATTGTAACAAACTATGAATCATGACACGAATTCTCATACTAAACACTCTCAATTTTGCATTTAACTTGTTCATTTGCATTTTTTGAGTTAGGGTGATTTGAGTTTAGATCTTAATTTGAATTAATGTGTCCCGTTTACTTCACCGATTCGAGTTTAGAATTTGAGTTTTGCTACAGTAAAAAGTTCTCAAAAACAGTCACATCTAACTTTTTTACTACAGTAAAAAGCTCTCACATAAAATCACATCTCAACTCAAATTACAAACTCGAATCAGCGAAGTGAACGGGTAGATTTTAACCTTAAATTCAAGTTAAAACTTAAGTTTAAATTCAAATTTTACAAAAGAATCTCGTTCTTTTCGCTGATTTGAGTTTTACTACAGTAAAAAATTCTCAGAAACAATCACATTTAGCTTTTTTGCTACAGTAAAAAGCTCTCACACAACATCACATCTCAACTCAAATTAAAAATTCGAATTAGCGAACCGAACAGGCATTGTAACTTGAGTTCAATTTTTTTTTTTTTAAATTTAGGTGTAAATAAATAAACAGAATGATCAAAAGTTTTTGTGTAAAGGCTGAGAAAGTTGTACTGCATGCTTTACCATTTTGGTTAAACTTTCTTTTTTTTAATTTTTTTATTTCGTGCATTAAAAATAAACTTGTGTTTTTGATTGTTGCAATGATCTAGATGATTACGATGTCTTTCCCATGTGGGTGAACCAAAAAGAATTGTGAAGGATCTCCACTTTGTACTTGGACAATTTTGGAACTGAACGTAGAGAGACAAAATCGAGGCCTCTACCGTCTATCATCTAATATATATATATATATATATATATATATGAGACCTTTATATGCTAACATAGCGGTAGGTTAAGTTTTTTGACCGTTAAATTTGTAGAAAATCATATAAAAACTAAAAAGTACGCAAATTTAACTGTTAAAAAAATTTAACCTATCAGTACATCAGACGTAAAAAAAAATCTCCCTATATATTTTTATATATATATTTACATACAGAGACACTATAAACTTGTTTATCATTCACATCATTAGATGAGTTTTTTTTTCTTTTTCTTTTTTTTAATAAAAACATCATTACATGAGTTTGACATACAACATAATCTTACATTGAAATACAAGGGGTGCGTTTGTAATTAGTTCCAAAACGTTTTTATTTTTTGTATAAAAATGAAAACAAAAACGTTTTTATTTTCATTTTGAAATCATTTCTGAAAATGCGTTTGGTAGTTTTATTCTGAGATTATTTTCAATTTTAAAAAAACTAAAATTGCGTTTGGTAGTTTAATTTTTAAAAACATGTAATAATATTTAAACTAATAATATATTAAATAAATATATTAAATAAACAATCAACCCATTTCCTTACTACCTCATCAATCAACGGAGACGAGTGGGGGGAGGGGGGCGCAGTAGGAGACGCGTGGGGGGAAGGGGCACTGTCGGAGATAGGGCGGAGAGGCAGAGGAATTTGGTTGATTTTTTGATTGAGTTTTAAGAAAATGGAAATGGAAAACTGAAAACGATTTTCAATCGTTTTCAGTTTTGTTGAGTTTTTAAGAATAAAGTAAAAAACGTTTTCATTTTCTGTTTTTCAAGAAATGCTGCCAAACAGCTTCCTCAGAACATTTTCAGTTTTTGATTCTTGGAAACGTGAAAAACGGAAATGAAAACGGAATCAAACAGACCCAAGGCCTTTAAATATTTTGAAAATAGAAAAAACTAAAATTATTACAATAATTACAATATAATTATGCAACATAAAATGTGAAAATCATTATAATAATTACTACTGTTTTATAATTTTTAAATATTTCAAAAAAAAAAAAAAAAAGAGCACTATACTTCAATTTTATTCTTATAAACATGCCATGACCTAATTTTTACCATGATGCCATCATGTAGTCATGTATTTTTTTCTCTTTCTGCTTGAAAGCCCCCTCCCCCACCACCATCGGCAAGCCCCAGATGGGTAGAAAGACGTGTACTCACATCTCTCCCTCTTCCCTTTTTTTTTTCCCTCTCTTTTTCCCTCTTTTTGCTACTGTGGAAAAAGCATGAAGATGAGTAGGGTTTTGAGTATGTATTAGACAAATAAAAAGTAAAAAGTGGCACGAGCAAGGGGATCAAAATTTGGAATTTGGATTTGCATTAAACAATAAACCACATTCCAATCACCAACGACAACTAGTTCACAAAGTTTCACAACATCCCAACATGAAAAAATATACATTATTCCTCTCAGAAAGTAGATAAAAATTGTAGGACACATGCAGTCCTATTTGTCCCTCCTCAATTCTAAAGCAAATTGCCTGCACTACTTAAAAATCTCTATTTCAAGACGCCTCAATACCTGGCTCACGAATCTGAATAGAGGTTTTTGACAGACTTGCTTCGAGCTCATTTAACTCATCCATGTCCAGCTCGTCTTCGTCGTCGTCAACATCAGAGACTTCTTCAGAGTCGGCAGCAGCACCAGAAGAAGTGCTTGGACCCCCTGCAGCCATACTGCCGGAGACCTGACATTGAGCAAAAAGCCACAAATTATGCAGACCATTAAAATATGTGCAACGGAAAGATGCATTTCAACAAATCTAAGTCGAACCAATGATAAAACAAGCACTTATTTCCAGGAAGAAGAGGGCTTAATACAAGGAGACATGCTAGTGGCTGAAAAAGAAGATGTGCTTTAAGCAAGAAGAAAGTGTCGGTGAGGGCATTGCAAATGCAACGCTCACGCGCATAATTCGGTGATTAAGAACCAATGTTTCACCATTTCAAGGAAACAAACCCCAATATCATGGTCTAGTAACAAGATGAAACCATAAAAAAGGGTCCCAACAAGTGCCCAATTTTTATTACTGGACATAATTTTATCTACCCATCCAAATATTCCCATTTCAAATGTGGAAATCGTGCATGGTTGTATCCACAGTGATATGCACAGCATCAAAGATTCACCAAAAATAACAACTAAGAAATTGGTTTTGATTAATGATGCAGTAATAATAAACCACAAGTTACATATTAATTTGTCTTTCCTGTGGATCTGTCAGACTTCATTTTGCAGAGCTAGAAAATAAACATTAAACAATATACTAATTTAAAAAATCACACATGTCCATGGCATGAATAAATGTAATGCCTAAAAATGCCTTGATCATGGCGGAGAGATGACTTTATCCCCTTTTTAAACTCCACATACGAATCCCACAAATTGCTAAATTAACTTAAGCCATTTGACCAAATAACTTGGCCGCGTTCATTTCACTGATTCGAGTTTTCAATTCTAGTTTTGCTACAGTTAAAAGCTCTCATAAAAAGTCATATCTAACTTTTCTGCTATAGTTAAAAGCTCTCACATAAAGTCACATCTCAACTCGAATAGATAAACTGAATGTGTCCTTAAGATTTAAGAAAGTAGCATATATAAGCCAATAATGTGTCTAACATTGAGTTGTCACATCTTAACATATATGATTGACAAGAAGCCATACAAACTACAGTTGGCATGAACAAGCCGTTACACCTCAAGCAAGAAAATGACAAGAAAAGAAAAAAGCAGTTATGCTTTGTTTTCTCAAGTGAGCTACAAGCTGTTGGAAGTTAAAAACTTGATAAAAATTTCACTACACTTCGGTCATTACTGCCAAACATGTGCAGTTTATAAGGAGGTGGAAGAAAATGTTACCTTTTCTTCAGCATGCTGAGGTTCTTGTCTAGTGTATTTTTCATATGCCTCGACATCATCCACAAACAAGCTAGCATCTGAAAGAAATAACTCGCGACCGCTGAAAAACACAGGAAAACAAAATCAATACAATGTCAAAATTGTTATTTTCAACCTCAATGAAACAAACAGAAAATTAAGAAACCTCATCCTGTCATTCTTTGCCCTCTCTGCTTGTTGAGCAGCCAGTCCAGCATCTCTCTCCTCAATCTTTTTCTTCTTCCATTGAAAGAACAGATCAGGAGTCATTGGAGTGGTGGTTTTCACTTTGGCACGCTGAAATAATCAGCAAATATCCAATAATTAGGGTTGAAACTACCAAAACAGAGAAAGAAACAAAGATAAAAGGAGATGCAATACATTAAGTCTTTAATCGCCCTACGGGGGGGGGGGAAGCAGAAAGAAAGAAGATTACAGGGATTCAAAAAATAGTAATATTTCATGTTCACCTGATTTTCAATTTCCTCCTCAATGGTAATTTTTTCAGTCTCTTCCTCAAGAAGTGCCTTCATTTGAGATTTCAAAACATAGCCAGGAGGAAGGGCATGCCTGTAGTGACAATCCTTGCCACCATTGGGACAAACCCAGAACCAACCATACTGTTTCTTTTCTACTGCCTCCAAAAAGTACTTGCAAACCTATCCACAGTTTATTAAGAAGTTAGCAAACACGGATATTTTTATTCTAGAAGAAAAACAGCTAGGTAAGAATCATGTTGTGAGGGTATGGGAATGAGAATGGGAATGAGAATGGTAATGGTAATGGAATGGAAAAGAAAGTTGATTCATTTGTTTGGTTGAACTTTTAGGAATACTAAGGAATAAAATATGATTTTTCTCGTTTTGACAAAATCACCCTTACCTTTTGAGAAACGGATTCTTCACGTTCTTGAGATTTTTTCTGCAAAATATAAGCAGATGCTTGCAAGGCATCTTTTTTTTTTTTTTTTTTTTTTTTCTTCTTAAGCAAGCTTGCAAGGAATCTTATTCTCATCGTTTATCATGAAATTAAAGCAAAATCCTAATGTTCCATGGAAGACCCAAAAGATTTGTCCGTCTAAATTAGGTTTGGGACCCACACTTTCATATTTCTAACATTGCCGAAGTCAAGCTCCAGATCTGATTTTTGCTGATCAAGCTCCAGATCTGATTATTCAGCAAGAAAGAAAGGGAAAAAAAAAAAAGAAGAAAAGAAAATAAAGGAAAAGAAAGCAACAAAAACTAAAACAAAAGGCTCCAGATCTGATCTCCTCGTCTTTGCAGACCCACAAATTAGATTTTGAAGCTTAATAACAAAGGCAACAGCTTTATATCTCTCAAGCGGCTTTGCGCTATACTTCCTTCCTTTGCCATTTTTTCTTCTGGTGGTGCTGTACTCGGATCGCTGGCGGAGTGAGTGAACCGAAAGGAGTTGACCGATGAGAGTGAGCAGAGAGAAGACGTTAGAGATAGGTGAGAGAAGAAGAAAATTAGGCATCTCCGGCGAAGCTCGCCGGCAAACCTACCAATGAGATAACCGGGGTGGAGATGTTAAAGGAGATCATAAACTGAGTAGTGAAATGGAAGTTTAGGTGGGTTTCTCATGAAATTTGTGAAGGGCAGTCATGGAAAATAATTTAATTAACCAATGGAAGTGGTATTCCTCCCACCTCTCAAAGGAATGATGATTCAATTAAAAGGTCCAAAAACAATTCCGTTGGAATAGGTATTTTGAGGTCTATAATCCAACCAAACATAAGATTTGGACTTTTTTCCATTCCATTCCTTTTCATTCAGCCCAACCAAACGCACCCTAACGTGAAAACAACCAAGTGCCTTCTCAGAAAAAAGGATCCCTATAGCTATCGAAAATGGTTTCCTACCATGCCCCACAATCCAAATAATCTCAAAAGGCAGCAATTGAACTAAGCTTGGCTGCTAGATTGAATGTTCGATCATTGATGTTTCAATTCCTGGTCCAAGTTCCTCCACCTCCAAATGCATTACTTCCAAACTTAAGTAGCACAAATGCAGAAAACTAAGTGCAGAACCAAAATACAATAAACTAAAAAATTTTAGGCCTCGTTCGTTTCGTTGATTCGAGTTAAGATGTGATTTTATGTGAGAGCTTTTTACTGTAGCAAAAAAGTTAGATGTGACTGTTTGTTAGAGCTTTTTACTGTAACAAAACTCGAATTTTAAACTCGAATCAGCGAAACGAATGAGACCTTAGAGACCCCAAGTTCCATTAAGGGTTCAAGCTAAATGCAGATAGAAAACTTCCAATAGCACATTGATCCAAGAAATAAAGCTAATCTATCAAAAGTTCACAAAAGCTGCCATCCAAAACTACTTTAAACATTCAGATACCATATTTGATTACCCAGAAAAAAAAAAAAAGTAAGTGAAGTTGGTTTATATGGGAAGACGTAATTTGATCTCTCTCTCTATAAAAAGTAAGTGAAGTTGGTTTATAGGGGAAGATGTAATTTGCTCTCTCTCTCTCTCACAATTACACTTACTTTTAAACAAAGAGTTAGAACTACTGATAAAAGAACAACGCACACGAAGGATAAACATTCAGGGTGAAAGAGAGTAACACCTTCAAATGTGAAAATTCTAACACAAATAAAAAAGATCTTATAGACAGTTAGCACGAGTGGATTCACAAGTTGTGCATAGACATACAATTTCAGTTGGTTTATTCGGGTTATACTCCGTCTTTTTCGACTCAACAACCTTCTCCAACGTCTCCTGATCCCAGTCCTCCATCGTTTCTAAAAATTAAACAGCAAACACCACCAAAGCATATCAATCAAAAAACGGTTAAGCATTCATGCAACAACTTACATAGAAACCAAAAACAATAAATAAATTAAGATAGTCGCCTGTATCCGCGCACCTTGATCACGCTTATCACTGTAAATGTCGATCTTCTCACCCTTCCTCTGGACATTCAAATCATGTGAGAACTTGCATTTAAAGCCCTTAGCACATTGTCCCACCTTGAAAAACTCGCACAGTATAGACTTGGGATCAACACCTATAGAAATTCTCAAAGTCCCAAAATTCCAATTAAACACACACCCAAGGGGCAAACTAAGGAAAAAAAAAAAGCATAAACCAAAAATAAAATTACAAGAAACATCAACCAAAGACTGAAAGTACAACTACACAGTAGTACATACCGACTGGTACTTTTGGTTGACTAACAGCAACCTTAAATAAATCATTCAGCTCCTTCTCTTTAGCTTTCTCTTCCTCTTTCTTTTTCTGCCATATCCAATCCAATCCAATCAGTGAACAAAATAAGCATTCTCAACCCTCTAAATTACACAATTTATTTCCCAAAACTCATAAAAAAGGTCATCTTTTTTCCCTACCAGAAGAAGTTCTACAAATAGTACCCAATGAAAGAAAGAAACCAATCATTCTCAGCCCTCCAAATCCTCTATAACCACAATTTTTCCTCCCAAACTAAACATTAAACAACAAAAAAAAAAAAAAACTTTTTTTCCCATCAGAAGAAATTTTACAAATAGAACCCAATATAATGAACATATATATGCATGCATACAAATATAAATGGCGAAATAGTGAAAAGGAGAAAAACCTTGGCGTTGATTTTGGTGGTGTCGGGCTTGGGCTGAACAGATTGTTTGAGGTTCTGAACATATTTCTGAACATTTTTACTCTTGTTCTTGTTCTTAAGACCGAAGGTCTTGTCTTCCACGATCTTCTGCTTCTTCGCCAAGTCGACCTTCGATTGCTGCTTCGGCGGCATTATTATTATTATTATTATTTAGCTATTTCGAATTCAAATTCAAGAAAACCCTAAATCCCAAAACGAAAAAAGCTTCAAAAATCAAAAAGAAAATAAATCGATTTTATCTGTAGAAGATATTAGGGTTTTTTTATTTTAGGAGATTTAGCAGAGTTCCGTGTTGCTCTGAGAGGAGGAGAAGAAGAAAGGTCAGTATTTTTTTTTGGCTTTCTAATTTATTTGCCGAAATTGCCACTCATCGTTTTCCAACTGGTTAGTGCCTCTTTTTCACTGAAGAAGGATCCAGAACCAAGATGGGTAAAATCGGAAATTCATATAGAGATAAGGGTATAATTGTCCGTAAGTATGTTTTATGCAGTTGTTCTTTTTGTACCAAAACTACCCTTACAAGGTACAACCTCGAACTGCTAGTGGCAAAGACTGCAGTAGCGTTTCGACCAGTTACTGTTCGCCACGTGTATTTCCTAGATTTAAGTGCGTATTACGCACTGTGCGTGGTTTAGGGTGAACAATTGCCAGGAGAACGGAGAAGAACTGAACCAGAGGCTCTAGAGAGATTAAGAGAGAGAGAGAGGGATGAGATTTCGTACGGTTTTCAGAGCTCCTCAAAGCAAGAACAGAGCGCCATTGCTGTGTCAAACTCCAGCTTCTTCTCGTTTTTTCTCGCGGATTCAACCAAGCCACGAACGGTCCGTCGAAACTCGAATTGTGTAGTAAACAATTACAGTATAAAATATGAACTTGAATTTTTACGCAATTTTTGATCTTATGGTCGGTTGATTACTGTGAAGATGGAGTAGAATGGAAATGGCGGTGTTTGAGACGGTGTGGCGGTTCCTTTGCTTTGCAGGTCTTCGTTCGGAATCGCGTTCGATATTGATGGCGTTATTCTTCGCGGTCGTGTACCTATCGGAGGATCTCCCCGAGCTTTGAGAAGATTGTACAGAGAGTCTGGTACTGATCATGACATTCTTCTCTCGATAAATTTACTTGAGCATTGCTAGCCATCCGTTTGTTTCCCAGGAAAACTGGGGAAAAAGAACAGAAAGCACCCTCTTTTTTTTTATTCTTAATCTCGTTATATATGTCATGTTGGTCTATAGGAAATTCGTTTTTAATGTCCGTACAAGTAGCAATAGAAACATCAAATAGTGTAGATATTCTGTCTGATAACTTACATTCTGTTAGTAGAAAATAGAAAGAAATGTTTGATCTTTGGTTTTATTTTATTTTATATATTTTATAATTAATCTTTTCTCTTTGGTTATCAGGCTCATCTTTGTACCTTACTGCATTTGGCTTAATTGTTTTTTTTTTTTTTTTTATCTCTTCTCTCTCTCTCTCTCTCTCTCTCTCTATCCTTTCTTTGTAGGTACTTTGAAAGTTCCCTTTCTGTTCTTGACCAACGGTAAGTTGTCTTAATGTAGTGTTCACCAAAATCTTTTTTTTTTTTTTGTTAAATTCTAATTGTGTTATATATTTAATGTGTTCTTGGCCAGCAAGTGAGTTCATTTGTTATACAGTAAATAGTTTCTTACATTCTTCATTGTATATTTTATTCTGAAATGCAAGATATAGAGTGGAGAGATAAAATGGCTGATAACTCTGGTTCTCTAAATAGGAGGTGGCATCCCAGAATCACGACGAGCCATCGAGCTTAGCGAGCTTCTGGGAGCTCCAATTTCACCCTCTCAGGTATGCTTCAGAACTTGGAATTCCTTATCACCAACAAGAATAAAAAGATTGGATTAAAATGAAAGATTTTATGAATAGAACTTGACTGATGAAATCCTTGGCATAGCTGTCTCTTTTGCAATATCTTGGTGCAGGTCGTACAAGGTCACACACCTTTTGAAAATTTGTTGACCAGGTAAACCATATTTGCTCTTGAGATATCAAAAAGTTAATTTACAATTTGACATAATTGGCAGTGAATGAATCAGAGTTATTTATTTTTTGTCCCAACATTTTATCCTAAAAAATTCGTGCCTTGATCAATCATGTAAATAAAGCACTTAAAACTTGGCTTTGGTAATTGATAAATGAGATCATTTGGCAGCTTAAACTAGGCAAAATAACACCCTGGACTTGGAGGCGGCATAAGTTATTGCTTCTGGTTGCATGTTTATCTAGCCTCTAGTGAAAACCTGGATGCAGCTCTGAAATTTGCTCTGGCACTCAAGCTGCCCTTATGTTTCTTCCGTTTTTTTGAAACGAATGGAGTAGAGAATATAGTTGAGTCACACTTGTAGAACATTATCTATCAGCATCATTTTCTAAGAGAGATGTTTTTCTTGTTCTTAATAAGTTCCATAGATTACCTTATCAAATAACTTAGAACTTTGCTTCAGATCATTAAATGCGGTCAATCTTAGAACCATGCTTTTGTTTATCTTTTTATAGATATGAGAATGAACTGATTGTTGCTGCTGGGAAAGGAGAGCCAGCTCTTGTGATGTCTGAGTATGGTTTCCAGTAAGTTCGTAGTCACATCTTGGTTGTTCTATTCTGTATATAAATAAATAATGGGAACATATGCATATATATTATACTATATATACATACATATATATCCCTGGTTCTGAGCTTCCGGATCATGAATCATAATTGCATATGTTCGTAGATTTTTAAGAATCAGGTATAGCTAAATGGCTATGTTTATGTTCTGTGGCAGAAAAGTTCTCTCACTGGATGAATATGCGTCCTATTTCAAAGACATTGATCCTGTATCTCAATACAAGAACTGGACAACAGATCAGGCATTATATCAAAGTGGCCAGTCCAATGAGTTCACGCCAAGATACAATGTTTTATATGAAAGGGTTAAGGCAGCATTTGTTGTCAGTGATCCTGTAGATTGGGGCAGAGATATTCAGGTAAACCATTTGAATACGTCCTTGTATGATTATTTTAGCAGTTAGCTCTTTGTAGAGCTATGGTAGTTTCAAATTCCATGTGAACTGTTGTGCTTTACATCGTCAAATCAGAAGAGCTAAGTGAAACAAATGAAAAGACATCGTAGTGACATTCTGTGACAGCAATTTTTGACCTTCAGAAAAGTATGGCATGCAACATTAGAGTGTAGTGAAATAGAAATCAACAGGGAGGAAACAATGCCCGTCTATTTTCTTTTCTTTTTCTTTTTTCCCCTTTCTTTTCCTCTGTTTTTTTCTTGAACAAATCTGTAAGTTTTTGTTCAGAACCTAGCTCAGAAAATCAGCCAAACACCAATACCACACTCACACACACCAGAAACAGCAAGAAAATGAGAATAATCGGAGGGAATTTTATTAATCCAATTAGCCAAGAACACCAAATTACACTGAAATGTAATGGATAGAACGGAGAATTCGAGTACTCCGGGGACTCCTAATTTGGTGGTATTCGAGAGACCACCGCTCTCCCTAATCTCAGTCTCCCAAAACTCTCAAAATCACAACATACCTCTAGTGAGCTACTAAGCCCTTTATTTATACTAATTCCAACTAACTATACCAAGCCACTAACCAAACAAGTTCTTAAGTCATGAACGGATCCTAACAGTTTTGTTTTCTTCAGAATCTATAGTTACGCTATATTCTCCTAGATGTCCCATAATTTTGAGCTTGGTCCTTTCAAAAACTCTAAGTTCATTGTGAACCGAATTAGGTACTTTGCGATATTTTAACATCTGGAGGGCTTCCTGGACAAGAGAGTGGACAGCAGCCACCTTTATATTTTGCTGCAGATGATCTCGAATATCAGGTTGGTTGCTTGCTCCTTTAGAGGTATAGATTGAACTTGGACCCACATCTGGTGTAGTGATGGAAAAGAAAGAATCCAAATTTTGTTCAGTTCATATATTCGTCTTCAGACATCAGAGTTTACTGGAAATGGGAACTTACAAGGATTAGTTAGCCTTAAGGAAGAGCCATTTGTAACTATACTGATATTTGTCATTTGGTCAGAGTTTTTCTGGTATGGATTTCCTTTGTGGAATCATCAAATCACTGACTATGATAGTAATCATGTTCCATATCCAGTTGTCCCATCAATTTCTTTTTCCTGCTTTAATATTTTTACTTCAGCAGCTCTCCAAGGATACAAATAGGAGTTTTAAGTATCTTCATTTTCAATTTATTTGTTATAACTTTCTTCTTCTATTGCATTTCAAGTTTTACAAAATTTTGACAGTTGCGAGTTGTACTGAATATAGGCAGCATTTCCTTCTGAGCGACTTGGAATGGGTGCTTTCAGGATTGCCCTAGAAAGTGTCTTCAATAGGTAAGGCTATTCATATCATGTTCAGAACTTTAGAAATCCTGAACTTTTATCGTATAGGTTTGATTCAAATTGAGCCATTGATCAATTAATATTTCAATGTTTGCGTCTCCATGACCTCGTGACTAGACCAAAGAAATCAGATATATCCAAGGCCAGTCTTAGCGTTCAATTTGAGGAAACTGAGCTTTTGATATCTCACTGGCTCATCCATTTGTAATCATTTCACCCCCAAACTGTGAAGCTACAGAACATTAGAACTTATGAGACAAAGGGCAAAAGGGAGAATCCTCGAATTTCGTTCTGTTTTGAGAAATGAATTTTACTATTTTATAAAGCTTAAACAATATTGCATTGATACCTGACAGTTTGAATTGTGGTAAACATCTGAATGCTTGAAAATGTACCTCATGTACGGATATCTTGAGCTGCCTGTGGTATATAAACTCTAATTGTGGACCTTTGACGTGCAGAATTCACCATAATCCACTGGAATATGTATCTTATGGGAAACCAAATCCATTTGTGTTCAAGAATGCTGAAGCCATATTGAAACGGCTTCAGTCTTCACATCATGACGGTTATCTAATAAGTAACGGAGATCCTGTATCACAACACTTTGAGTTTGAGACCCTTTATATGATTGGTGATAACCCTTTTGTTGATGTCAAAGGTGCATGGCAGGTTTGTCTTTCTACACCATCTCAGACCTTGTTTTGGCAAAATGTTGAATATATTTTATCAGACATTGATACTCGTAAACAATTGGCTAAGAGTTGAAATATCTTTGGATTACCAGGTAGGACCTCCTTGGTTTTCTATTTTGACAAGGACAGGCGTGTTCAAGGGAAAAGATAATCACTCTGAGTTTCCAGCTGATCTAGTAAGTTGGCTTTATAACCTAAGATTCATACCGAACTATTTATTTCAAGATACTCCTAGTTTGTTCCCAAGGAATTATGAGTTGGTGTTGGAATGAATTGCAAGTCCCATCAGTGGAAAATTAGATCTGATTTCCTATTGGCGATGCAGGTTGTTGATACAGTGGAAGAGGCAGTGGATTATATTCTAGAAAGGGAGTGTGCTTCTTAATAATCAAGTTATTTAAATTCCATTCCATTGGTGGGTCCCAGAATTTTCAAGGTGATGAAGAAGAGGGAGTGGGACAACATGAATGATCTCCTTTTTCTAGGAGAAAAAAAGTTTTAAGTTTGCATTTTGGCCAAAAAAAAAAAAAGAGTAATCTTGACAAATACCATTTGAAAGTGCATGGGTTAGGATTTTTATCTTTTACTCTTGATTCATAACATTTTTAGTCAAATAATTATACTAACAAAAGAAGGCGGGCCTTGGCACCGTGGTGGGAGCGCTTGTGTTTGCACCCGAGGTCCAAGGTTCGAATCCCGGAAACGGCATCTCCTTCGGGGGTAAGGCCGCGTACATATGAAATTGAGCTTTCCTCTGAGTACTGTCATAGTACGGGAGCCTCTTTGGCATTGAGCTCTGCCTTTTAATTATACTAACAAAGTGCAGGTAAATTTTCCATTTTAAGTTTCTCCCTCTCTTTTACTTCCCATTCGTTTAATTGTACTCATTTTTCAAGTTCTCATGTTTTGACGAGGCAATAGTATTGGCAGAAAGAAAATTCAAGGAAAAATGTAGCACATTTTTTGAATTCTCAATTAAATCACGCAAATAATTAGAAATTGGTGCAAGTACCTCACTTGTTTATAGCAACTTTTTGTTTCACCTAACAGCAAGATGAACTAAACCAACTGTTTCGCTTCAAAAATCCTATGTTTCTTCTTCTTTTCAGCACGTTTTTTCATTTAGGACAATGCTCAGCACTGTTTTATTAAAAAAATTTATTGATCATTGCCATTTGCTCTAATTGTGGTTTCCATTTAGTGAAAATCACAAAGAAATGCATAATAACACTATAAAGAACATGCGCTCCTGTGGCATCTATACGGAACCTGTACCGGTTCATAAGTTCATCACAACTTTTACAACTTCAATTTTTATAACAGAAGTATTTTATTCAAATGTGCACGTTGAAAATTTACAAGTATTTTATTCAAATGTGCAGGTTATTGTATCCTTTCTAAACTGCACAACCACAACACTCATGTTTGAGTATTTTAACGTAAAATGCATAAATTATCATATTAAATTAACATATTCCTGGCAGGGTAACGGAGATTCTCCTCCCAACACCATAAAAGTTTCCTATTAAAGAACTTGTCTTCTATGGACAATAACATTTTCAAAGTGTTCAAATACTGTCGTTTTCTCTGTAAAACAACGGGACCTTGAGAGTTGAAACGAGAACTTGTCTTCTATGGGCAATAACGAATAGAGCAAGCCACGTAAGCAACCCTCTCTAGTTCCAACGAGTCCTAAAAGTTTTTGATTGAGGCAAAACAGAGAGAGGCTAGCTACTCAATTCAGTTGGAGACTTAAATGGAAGAAATTTCTTGATGGAAAATGGAATATTTTTGTCAACAAAATCAATGCTTGCTTGTGTTTTATATTTCTAAAGTATACATTAACTGGCTAAACGCAAGGATTAACAAGACTTGCCCATTCTACAACTTCAATTCTAAATTCAAAAAATTGTTAACCAAATTATGCTACAAGAAAAATTCCCAAATTACAAAAAACGGTTTCTTTTTTTTTTTTTAATTTAATTTTCAAACTTACATTACCATCCCCCCAAAAAAAAAAACCTCATTATTTCCCACCTTCCTGTTCCAACTTGTTGACATAAGCCTTCAATACCATAACGAGCTCCCTCGCCGGGGCCTGGATCGTTCCGACCAGGCCCAACGCCGGGCCCTGAAGAGAGCCCAACAACTTGGCATAAATCTCGGCCCGCGTCGGCAACGTCTCGAGCTTCTTGAAATCCTCGGGCCCATAGAACTTGCCCTCGAAAACCGCGCCGGTGAAGTCATTGCCGTCGAGCTTCCTCTCCTTCTGGAAATCCCTGTAGGGCTTGATCGCCGCCAGGATCTCCTCGCTATGGACGAAGAGCCACACGTTCATGCCGGTCATGCACGGCTTCAGAGCCTCCCACTGGGTGCCCTCGATGGCCTTGAAGACCAGCGTGTTCTTCGCCACGATCAGCTTCGTGTTCTCCGGCAGCGATCGTCGGAGGTCCTGGAACTGCTTGACGGTGAAGCCTTTGTAGCTGATTCCGGCGAGCAGGTAACAGTTTTCGAGGTTTTTCTTCACGGTCTCGACCGTCTCTTCCTTCTTGGTTCGGGAAATGGCGGATCGGATCGACGGGAGGCGGTGGCCGTGGCGGAGAGGGATTTGGGAGAAGGAGAGGAGGGGGTTCGTGGTGGGACGGGGTAATGTTAGAGTTAGGGTTTGGGAAGGAGAGGAGGGGAAACTGAGTAAGGCTTCCATTGGAGGAGAAGAGGGAGATTTGGAAGAGGGAGAGAGAGAGGAGAAGAGTGTGTGTGAGCTTTTCTCACTTTTTGTTGTTGCTTTATCTTATCCGGAAGAAGAAGACGAGAGAGACGGAGAGGGTTTCAGAAGTTTTTGTCGTTTGAAGCTAACGACATTGAAGAATGAACATTTGAACTTAATGCAAACTACGTGTTGTTTAGTTATAAAAGTCCATTGGGTATTTGTGTGCGTAAAAAGGGGGTGTGTCAAGGGGTCAAAATCTCACCCAAAATTTTCCCCGTGACGGCAGCACGGGACCGAACACCTCGAAGGTAGGAAAGTTACTTTTCTTTAAACAGTTACTTTTCGATTTTTTTTTTTTACCGTTTGTGTTTTTTGGCTATTTTTACCGTTGTACCCTCAGTTTTTTCATGGACATTTTTGTAATGCCATTATTTCAGCGTTCAATTTTTTTTCTCTTTCTTCTCTCTCTTTGTGCACTTTAAAAGTTTTTGTGTTTTTTTGATCCTATTTATTTCGCTGATTTGAATTTTATTACAGTAAAAAATTCTCATAAATAATTACATATAATTTTTTTATTATAATAAAAAGTTCTCATATAAAATTACATCTCAATTCAAATTAAAAATTCGAATCAGCGAACTAAACGGGTGATTTATCTTTTCTTCCGCTAGTTTGTGCATTACAGTTGGTTTGTAGTTTATTTTATCTTTTCCTTACAGTTGTTTGCTGTTTGTTGTTTGCTGTTTACTGTTTGCTTCTCGACTTTATTACTTCTGTGTGCATTTATTTCTTCTCTGTTTTCTCTTTCTCCAACTTTTCTGATCTGTTGCTTTGTTTTCCTTTTGCTCATGGGTCATTTTGATTTACTTCATTTTGTTCTAATTTATTTGTTGCTTTTACTCTTTTCTGGTGAGGAAAACAAAAAGATGTTTACGAATGTTTGCTTCTTGCATTTTTTTTTGGGTGTTTTTCTATCCAGAGAGGGAGAAGTTTGTGTTTATTTCCACAAGAAAATTTATTTCCCTTCTTTTTCTTCCGTTGTCTCTGACTTCGGTTTTCCCAGTGCTTGAAATTTTTTCCTTTTTTTTGGGTTCTTTAGAATCTGCTTTTTCGTTTTCGTTCGTTTCTTTTTTTTTTTTCCTTCTGTTTGTAAATTAAGGTGTCGTTATTTTTTTTTAATTTTGAATGTATTTTAGCGTTTCTTCTTCAGATTTTTTTAAAGAGATTTTTAGAAGATTTTTTTTTTTTTTTTTTGTAGTCGTTTTCGCCGTTGATGTTTCAGAGGTTTTTTTAATTGTTTTAGGTCTTTTTTTTTGTCTTCTGTTGTTAATTTTTTTCCTTTTTTTTGTCGGATATTATTTTCGGTTTTCGATTTGTTTCAATGCTGTTTTTTGTCTCTTTAATATTGGTTGTGTTTTTCTGTTTTCAGAAATGTTTCCTTTTTTTTAATTACTTTCGTTTCTCGGATTTGTACATGTATTGTTACACCTGTTATTAACTAATCATTACATTCATGGACGCGTTTAAAACTCATTCTAAAATAAATTTATTTTTTGTATAAAAATAAAAATAAAAACGTTTTCAATCTTATATAGAAATTATTTTTAAAAATGTGTTTAATAATTTTATGAAAAGATTATTTTTAGTGTAAAAACTTATTAATGTTTATGTTTCTCTCTACACTTGAGAGAAGAGAAAAAAAAAACAAAAAATAAAAAATAATTAAGTTATTTTTTATTTCTCTTTCATTTTACATTAAATTAAAAAATTATTTTCGTTTTCGTTTTTTTATCTTTAAATGTCATTTTGAAAACGTTTTTATTTTTTTTTCTCAAAAAATGTGAAAAACAAAAACGGATCAATTCTAAACAAGGCCGATATTTCTGAGTTTGTTTTGTTATCTAAGATTCACCAGTTTTTTCTTCTTTCGGTAATTTTATCGCCTTTTAAATCTGTGTAATAGATTTGTTAATTATTTGTCTCCTGATTATTGGATCAATTTTTTTGTGATTTACATGCTTTTTTTCACCTGTTCTTAATAAATTATGTTCTTAATCAGTTATTTCACCTGCCACCTTTTTTCCCAATTTTGTTATCGGATAATAACCAGAATTTTCCGGTGTATAATACTGTTATTTTTTTTATTACCGCTATTTTTCACATTGTTTTTCTTTTCGTTTTCTCACTGTTAACTTGTATCTTATGTTACTTTTTCTCATTTCCTGTTCTTCATTAAAACTTGGACTTCCGTTGTTGTGTTCTGTGTCTTCTATTGATTGCCTTTCTTCGTTTGAGATATGTATTAATGTATTCTTGAATATGTTTGTTAACTTTTTTGAAGAAACTATCTTATTTATCTTTAATGTTTATAATAAAAGTTGTTTTGAAGGAATTATCCTATTTATTATTACACTTTATGATATAATTTTGTTTCTTCAGTATATGATCTGTTGATTTTATTAAGTTGTAATAATTATAATTGTATTGAATATGTTATTCTTATCTCTATGTAATTTTTTAATAATTAATTTAATCAAGTTATTTCAATAATTGTTATTTATTTTTAGATTAGGTTTATAATAATTTAGTCTTATGTTCTATGAAAAGTTTGTTCTTTCTTATTCTTATTTTGTTCTTTGCTGTTAATGCTTAGTTTTTCTTATTGTAATTATGTTTGGTATTATTTTTTATTGTAATCACTTTCTTATTGTAATCATGTTTTTGGTTATACCTTTCTTCAATCTTTGTTCTTCTGCTCTGTTTGCTCTATCCATTTGCCTTCTTCGTTTCAGAACAGTAATTTGAATGACATTATCATACTCCGTTTTTTTAAAATATTTTTCTAAAATATCACTCTGTAAACTTTATTACAATGTTTTCCATATACATTTACTGTTTTGGTAACAAATTTGTTTTTATTGTGGTCCTATTCTTGATTGTTGATGATAGTTTATTTTTCTATAATTCTTATCATATATGAAATGTATATTATAGGTGATTTCTCTTATCTCTATTTATTTGTCCTACTTTATTAAGTGATTGAACAGTTTCTAACGTTGATTTTGCCTATTGTTTTGGTCTCTTTACTTCCTTCTCTCATACAGTTTTGGTTGTTTTGCTCCATCTGTTCCGTACCCTGAATCCTCCACTCAGGTATTGAGTTCTCCTTTTGGTGATGATGATGCATTTTATTTTCTAATTGTTGCCGTGTATTAATTATTTCTCAATGCTGACTTAGTAATTATTGTTGTTGCCCGGCTTATTTAGGATTTTGTTTTCTTCCATTAGCTGATGTTCCAGTTTATTGATAGTGTGTACAAATCCTTTAATAATTTAGTTGTCAGCCAAAAACTTTGTTAAGTCATATTTGAGTTATTATTATATATCTTGGAAGCGATGAAAAAAAATACCTGCACCAACTTTTTGACATACAATTATTGTTTTCGTAACAACTTGGTTTTTTTTTGGCCCTATTCTTGATTGGTGATTACAGTGTATTTTTCTATAATTCCTACCATGTATGAAATGTCTATTATAAGTGATTTTCTTCATCTTTATACGTGTCCTACTTTGTTAACTGGTTGAACAGTTTCTAGTTTTTATTGGAATCTTATTTTGTTTTTATTTTTCTTCCTATGTTTTAATCTATCTATTCATATTGTTTTTGTTTTTGTTCTGTTTTCTTCCTTTCGTTGATGTTCCAATTTATTATTGATATATTATTCTAATCATTTTTTTGTTATACTTTTGTTGAAGCTTTGTTCTTCTGCTTTGTTTGCTCTATTCATTTGCCTTATTCGTTTCAAAACAGTAATTTAAATGACATTATTATACTCTTTCTTTCTAAAATATTTTCCTAAAATATCATACTCTGTAAACTTTATTATAATGTTTTTCATATACATTTAGTATATCTTTTCGTGTATCAATTATTCTCAATGCTGATTTAGTAATTGTTGCTGTTGCTCGGCTTATTTACAATTCCGTTTTCTTCCATTAGCTGATGTTCCAGTTTATTAATATTGTTTACAAATCCTTTAATAATTTAGTTGGCAGCTTTGAGTTATTATTGATATATTTTAGTAGCGAAAGAAAATACCTGAACCAACTTTTTGACATACAATTACTATTTTCATAACAACTTTGTTTTTTTTTTTGGTCCTATTCTTGATTGGTGATTACAGTGTATTTTTCTATAATTCATACCATGTATGAAATGTCTATTGTAAGTGATTTTCTTCATCTTTATATATGTGTCATGCTTTGTTAACTGGTTCAACAGTTTTGATTTTTTATTCGAATCTTATTTTGCTTTTATTTTTCTTCCTATGTTTTAGTCTATCTATTCGTATTCTTTTTGTTTTTATTTCTGTTTTCTTCCATTCGTTGATGTTCCAGTTTATTGATATTGTCTACAAATCCTTCAACAATTTAGTTGGCACCAACAAAATTTACTAAGTCATATTTAAGTTATTATTGATATATTATTCTAATCATGTTTTTTGTTATACTTTTGTTGAAGCTTTGTTCTTCAGCTCTGTTTGGTCTATTCATTTGCCTTCTTCGTTTCAGAACAGTAATTTGAATGACATTATTACTCTTTTTTTCTAAAATATTTTCCTAAAATATCATACTCTGTAAATTTTATTACAATGTTTTCTATATACATTTACTATATCTTTTTCATAAGGTTTAAGTTTTCATTTCGGTGATGATGATGTATTTTTCTTTTAACTGTTGTCGTGTATCAATTATTTGTCAATACTAACTTAGTAATTGTTGCTGTTGCCCGGCTTATTTACAATTCTGTTTTCTTCCATTAGCTGATGTTCCAGTTTATTAATATTGTGTACAAATCCTTTAATAACTTAGTTGGCAGCTAAAACTTTGCTGAGTTATATTTGAGTTATTATTGATATATCTTGGTGGCGATGAAAAAAAATACTCGAACCAACTTTTTCACATACAATTACTGTTTTCGTAACTTGTTTTTTTTTTATTCTATTATTGATTGGTGATTATAGTGTATTTTTCTATAAGTCCTATCATGTATGTAATGTTTATTATAAGTGATTTTCCTCATCTTTATATATGTGCCATGTTTTGTTAAGTGGTTGAACAATTCCTACTTTCTATTCGAATCTGATTTTGTTTTTACTGTTCTTCTTATGTTTTACTCTCTATTTGT